GTGGTCATGTGGCCGGCATGACTAAACACCAAGGTGCACGGAACGCTGTTACCTTCCCACCGAAGTGGTACCTATTTATCTACTTGCAATTTCTTGCTTTCGAACTGCTAGGTTGGCAGGAGCTGGAACTAGAGATGGGAGCTCACTCCATCATGCGGCACCCGGGTCTCGAACTGCTGAACTACTGACCTTCCACAGCCTGCAGTTCAGCGTCTTAACCACTTGAACCACCAACACTACATAACAATGAACAAATTCCATCAAATCATAAGAAAATCCTTGTAGAAGAATAAATCAATGTCGTCATCACCGGATTTCAGAACAACATTTCAAAACTGGATCTTCCTCAGGAAATATTCCCAGATGCCCGGGATCCATCAGAAACTGAGTAGTATCTTTGCAGCCTGAATAGCTTTGGAGTTCAGCATCCTACTACTAAATGCATTATATTATTCCTGGTTCTATGATAGCACTATATGAGCATGAAAGCTGTTGTACTACTGTATAGAATATTTCCTGAGGAAGATCTGGTTTTTGAAACGTTGTTGTTATAAAATCTGGAGACGACGTTGATTTATTCTTATTCAGGGATTTTCTTATGATTTGATGGATTCTGTTTCTAAGGCCAGATTCTTGGTGCTGTTGACTGGCTGAAATGTGTGCTAATAAATACATCACTATTTCATCTTCCAGTGGTGACTTTCCTAAGCCAGTAATGCGTTGTGTAAGGAAATGTTCTTGTCTGCTGAATCTACCACCAAATCTGCTCTGCAGTACAATACCATAGAAGCCAGAGAAAAGTTAGTTAATCAAGCAGAAAGATGTCCAGGGTTATGATACTTTCTGCTACATATTTTTTTTTTAAAAAAAAATAGGTGACGGATGTGAAGGAAAAACTGAAGCAAGCAAAGAAGTTTTGGTCCTCTCTTCCTGGCAACATCTGTAACGATGAGAAGATGGCCACTGGCAATGTCAATGAAGAAGAGTGTTGGAATGGAAGCGACAAAAGCAGGTTTGGGAGAAGCCAGAATTCCTCTTGCACTTTCTTCCTCTCTGACTTCTCTCAGCGTGTCCAGTTTCAGGCTGTCCAACATCTGGATGCCTGATGTTTTCACTGAGTCAGGGATTGCATACTTTCTCTTTTCCACTAGACCATTACGCCTTTCTGGCCACTGGCAACTGCCAGCAGGAGGTGACTTCATGCATGGATTCTAGAAGTTGGATTCTGGGTTCTCTGCCACCCCGTGGTGGGGGGGAGGAGTAAGTGATGCAAGAAGTTTGTAGCTAGGGGTTGCTACATGGTATATAACCCGACTGGGTTTTGTCAGGGCCTCTTTATCCCCCACAACTGTGCTCACCCAACCTGGTTGATGTTTGAATTGTGCAAGGTAATTGTAAATTCAGAGTGGGGAAAAAGGGGATCTGACTGTGGGACAAAATACTTTGCAGAAGCAGTGGAGAAGTAGTGTGCCCCCCAGGGTTGCCTATAGTACTGGTCAGCAGTTAATCTTAAAAGAGGATTGCTGGGAGGCAGCCCACCATGGCCTCAGTCCCCATGTCTCCATGCTGGCTGGCTGTCTAGCTAGACCTGTTGTTTTTAAACTGATAGTTCTCAAACTTTTTGAAGTGGGTCCCACTTCTGAACTTACTCTACTTTTTGAGAGCCCCTTGTAAAGGAACTCTGCATGTTTTCCTTCCCTCCCCAATATAAAATGCAAGAATCTGGCAGAAATTAACACTAAAGTTTATTTTTTCCGTTTCATTTTTTTTGAAATTTATAAATATATTATTGAGCAACAGGTTGTACTTGAGGGCCTTTTTTTGCACATCCAGGCCTCCCAGAGCATCTTCTCATATCTCACCTGGATCCACTTCCTGCCTTCCAGGCCTTGTGACCCACCTACAGCCCACTTTTCGGCTCCAACTCATGATTGGAGAACCACTGGCTTAAACTGTTATTTCCTCCACAGCACCTTCTTAGATCTAGGCTAGCAACTGACTTTGCCTCGTAGGAATCTTCAAGAGGTCAGGTTTAGCACAAGACCCTCTAGTGGCTGGCTGCAGTGGGCCTTTGTCGGGTCAAAAAGACCTGTAAAATGAATCCGTTTCTGCATTGCAAGGATCATCAGAGTCAAACTGCCTTATACTGAATCAGACCATCAGTCCATCAAGGTCACTATTGTCTACTCATTCTGGCAGTGGCTCTCCAGTGTCTCAAGCAGAGAGGCTTTCACATCACCTGCTGCCTGGTCCTTTTTAACTGGAGACCGTCTGCATGCAAAGCAGATGTTCTGCCACTGAGCCACAGCCTATTCCCATTGCACCACTGGCAGTCCGAGTAAGAGCCAGCGAGATGAGACATCAGCTATCTGCACTCTTGTTTCCAAGCTGTAGGACTCTCTCTTGGGTCAAAAAAACCATGTTTGATTATTACAGCATGATAAATCAACAATTCTGGTGATGTAGCAAGATGTCTGTTATCAGAAACCGGAGTCAGCCGTTTCGGTTATTGAAAGTGGTTAACTAATCGGTGCCAGACGTTTAAGAAATCTTGCACTGCTGAAATGTACCTAGGAAGAGTCCCTTAGTCTGGATGATGCTGAAGGTCCATCTACCTTATGTTTTCTGCAGCAACTAGCCAGAAAGTGACTCTGAAGTGGGTCACTCCCCTGTTTGTGCATCTTCTGCATATAGTGTTCAGAGGTATATTGCCTCTGGCAGTTCTATTTAACAGTCATGAGTGCTGATAGACTCATTTTTGATCAACTTTTTGATTTTGTTGCAGGTACATCTTTGCAGTGACAGCAAATGGTCTTGCCAATCAGGCAAACAATCCTGAAGTGGAAGTTGACACCTTGAAACCAGATGCAATGATTCGCCAGCAAATTGTGAACCTTCGAATTATGACCAGTAGAATGAAGAATGCTTACAATGGGAATGATGTAGACTTCATTGATATAAGTAAGTGGGCCTGTTTGTTCCCAAGAGATAGGTTTGTTGATGGAGCTGACAGTAGTTCTGGGAAGCTATTTGAGGGAAAGGCCCAATTTTCAAAAGTAACTCTTTGACCAATAGGGGAGAAGAATGACTGTGACCACTCCTTTGCTTGCCCAGGAGCAGCAAATCTTCTCTGATGCACGGGGAGAAGATGCAGTCACCTTCCAAAGTGATTACAAACAGACTGTAGCAAGTGGTGGATTAGTAAAAGGGCCCTTTGTATTCCCCCATAGATGACCAGGGTGTTGATGGTGGGGCTAGAAGTAGACAATAGAAATAGCCATTTATGAACTGCTGGGAGGGGTGGAAAGTAAACACTGATTGAAGACAAAATTAAAGTTGATCTACAGATTCTGAAGAAGCACATGGTGGTATAGTCCTCATAAAACAGTACCATCTCAGAATGCAATCTCTGGATTTTACGTTTGTGGTGTTCGCCAGATGAGGCAGAAACTTCCCTAAATGTAGAAAGCTAGTACAAAACTGAGGAAGACCATTTAGAACCATTCTCTTTGAGATGCTAGATTTCCTCAGGCTAGGGATTTTGATGTGAAAGGAGGAGCTTTTGACCACATGGTATCCTAGTACAAAATAGGAAGGACCCTTGACTAGTATTCCCTCTAAGCTGGGTTAGTGTGAGCTAGCTCACAGTTTTTTAGCCTCTGGCTCACATATTTTTGTCTTAGCTCAGGAAGGAGGGCTCCAGAGCAAACTAATTTTATGCAGTAGCCAAATTGCTTGCTCACAACTTTAATGCCAGTAAGCTCGCAAAGTAGAATTTTTGCTCACAAGACTCCATAGCGTAGAGGGAGCATTGCCTTTGACCCTGTGATTCTTCTGAATGAGTAGTTTGGCCCCTTGTTGCTGCTTGGTTCCTGATCTTGAAGGCATTTGGTGGTGCTGTTACACTCTGGATTAGTTCACATGTGGGCTTTGTGTGTGGCACACCATGTCCTTCATTGTGTGGCACCAGTAGATGTTGGGTTGGTGGGCTGTGGCCCCTGTGCTCTGACTGAGCTCCTTGAGGCTGCCGGTCTGAAAATGAAATTTTTCATCTGTTTTCATAGGTGACGATGCTAGTGGAGAAGGCAGTGGAAGTGGCTGCGAGTTACAGCAGTGTTCCCAAGAATTTGTGTTCAATGCAACAGAAGTGACACAGGATACCAAGAAATCGGACAAAGAGCTGGACGCTTCTGCCACCAGCATGGGCCTGTCAGAAGCTGCCCTGCTTCTTAGCATCTTTTCATTCTTGGCTCTGCAAAGACAGTGGAGATAACCATTCCCCCTTTTTTTAGAATTGATGGGGGGGGAGAAAAATGACTCTTATTAAAAAAAAAAATAGGGAAAAGGCACCTGATTTCACTTTTATACCATCTAGTGACTTTGGGGGGGAGGGGGAAAGGGTTGTTTGTAAGTTAACGGACAGCAGTGTACAGTTTTGTTTTGTTTTTGCTATGTTGCCACTGGTTTTTAATAAGTTTTTCCTTCTGTCTTTCTCTCCCTCTCCCCCGCTCTCATTTTTTGGGAATGGGAGGGAAAAACAAACAGGGATTTGGACCTGTTAGTCTGACCTGTTTACTGAGATGCCACAATAAATGTGGTTAACAGAGTGTATATACAGGCCTGTAGTTAGCAATGCTTTTGTCTTGTGGTGTTTTTGTTTTTTAAATCAAACTCTCTGTCCTATTCCCCACCCCCCATCCCTTTTAACTTTATTTTATCCTATTTCATACAAAAGAAATTCCAGAGTTCCATTTTGGCATGTATTGAGGCTGTCTTTCAAGGGGGGGATGAAATTATCTGTACAAAAGCAAAAGGTTTTTTTTATCATATTTCATGGGGAAAGAAACTGTCTATCAAGCAACAGAAAGTGCTTTGTGCAGTGGAGTTCCCACACGTATCCATTACATTAGATGCCTTATCTTAAGAGAGAAGTAAAGCTAATCTTTTGGGGGTTACTAGCTTTTAGAACAGAATGTGAAGGCTTGGCCTTATAACCTTGTTCGCTGCTGGAGAAAGAATTACCTCTGTCCTTTTACCCCCATGCAAATTACTCAGCTGCATTTTTTGGGGTTGTTGGGTTAGATTAGAAAAAAAATCAATGCCGCTCTAGCTACTGTGACTGTTCCTTGTGGCTCTTGAGAGCCTACCTACTAAAAGGCCTTTGACACAGGCTTATTCGTATAACATCCACTGTGTTACCTTCTTATAAATGTTCTTGTAGAAGATGCAAGGGCCAGTCTGCTTGTCCTCCCTGCAAGCTGGAATATTTTCTGTCAGTACTTTGAAATGGTGCTTGTTAGGGCAGGGGTCACTCACCCATCAGTGGTTAAAAGGCCAGCTGTAGGCATCGTGTTAGAGGCAGCAGGATGTCAGGGATGGACTTTTGGGAGACAGGTGAGGCTATGAGACTTCACCTGGAAGGAGAGTGGCCCAGCACAGGGAATGTAAACGGCACGAGGGATTCCCACTTCTCTCTGTCTCTCTCTCCTCCCTGCAGGAGCTCTGCCGCAATAAGTGGTAGTGACTGAAATAATGGTACATAGTTTTTTATTTGTATTTTGAAAAGGAATTAAATTGCTTTAAAAGAATGACAGGGGTAAGTCTACAAAAAGACTAAAAAATATTCTGGAAGTTTTTCCCGACTTTAAACAGGCGCTGGCCTCAAATAGTGTTCCCTCCAGCGCCACAAGCAGTTGACCCGTTAGAAAAAGAGAGAGAGGATGATGGAGAGATTTTTTACCATCCACCCTTGTATTGTAAGGTTGGGTTGGGCTGTTTTCTTCCCTATTTTTATACTGAAACATTAATTATTGAGTAGCTCAGGGTCAGAATTTTTGTTCACACACCAAATTCCTGTAGAACTTTATATAAAGATGAAATAGGCTTGGCTGGTACTACAATAAACCAATCCCAGAGGCATCAGATTCTAGAAGTAGCCAGTTATTTATTTTTTTAAATATGTTTATGTGTATACACACACACACACACACATATACACTTATTATAACTCAACAAGGCATTTTCTGGCTAGGCATTTGGTGTTTGTTTTATTTTATTTTGTAGAAAACCAGTCACAAAAGCATAAAATGGGGGGGTTATAAATGTGCATGGGAAGGATTGTAAATAGTTGCATTGCTTTTGCAAGGAGTTGGAAAACGGTGCCGATGACCAAGAAACTACCTCAGTTCTGAGGAATTTCCTTTCTAGCTGTTTTTTGAGTGCTATTACATTGACTTGGTAGAAATGAAACCGGGGCCTTCAGTACAGTGCCAAAGGGAGTTATCCCCTGCAGATCTTGTTAGATTGCTTTTAATTTAAAGCATCGAACCAAGTCCAGCTGTTTTTCTTGCAGCTCTGTTCCTTGACAAAGAGGGTGGGGGCTGATGATGGTTTCCATGACTCCTAATGAACTGGATTTGGCCATGTCTCTTTTTCTCCTCTGTTGTCTTTTTTAATTGTTTTAAGTGGCCTCATTATGAATTTCAGTTGTGAAATAATGCAAGCCAACCTTAAGTGCTAGGATCTCTTGTGCTGTTATTTTTAGTAGGGTCTAACTGGATAATTTGGGGGTTGGGGAGGGTTATGGGCTAACAAGCTTGCCAATAAGATTAAATGGGTTGTGGGGAAAGGATTGGGAAGGGAAGGGGTGTAGGCACAATAAAACTTAGTCGAGCTGAGAGAGCAAAATGGACTGGAGCAATCGTCTATGGAAGAATAAACCTTTCTGTATTCTCCAACTTGGGTTGCATTAAGATCCAGCTCACACACTGGTTTGCCTGTTGGCTGTGAGGTGAATATCATCAAATGGTGGCTTGCATGTGTGAATGGGCCATTGCTGATGAGCATCACAGGTGTAGCTTCCATGGCAACAAAAGGTTTCCAGGAAAGGAGGTTCTGGTGTTCAGCTGCCCTGTTGTAAAGCAGACGAAGGAAGAGCTATCAATGGCATGGTTGTGGTTCTGTTTTCTAAAGACTTTGTATGTTCTCCTTTTTTTCTTTTTTGCTTTACAAGCACGACAGCCCTCCTCGTGTACCTAATAACCTCCCACCTTCATTTTCTATTTATTTTTTTAAATGAATGGCTTACTACTTATTATTCATTGGGTTGTACTTTGGTAAGGGCAGGGGAAAAGACATGTAAATGTAAAGTGACAAAATATGGATTTTTCTGGCTTTATTTGAAAGGTTGCAATGGTCAGCCTAAATATGCATTCATAAGGTCTGTGTTTATAGATAACATAGAAGCCTAGAAGTCTATTGAGGATCACTCCTTGTAATATGGGGTCTAGTTTAATCAAATCTATGAGGTTCAGCATTCTGTCTCTGACATAATTCTAGTCCTTACAGATTCTGCAAGAGGCCTACTAGGTTGCAACATCTGCTGCAGAACTGGGGACTGGAGGAGGATGTGTGTGTTCTTTCTACTTGTAGTTCATAAGCACTGCTGCTCCTGTCCCAATTATTTTCCATGCAGTAATAATAATGGTTAATGTTTGTACAGCACTTTGAGCATTCAGACTGCTTCCTGTATACGATCACCTAGTGAGTTTGTGGTTGAAGTGAGATTCGAACTAGTGACTTGGATCCCATCTAAATCTCTCAGTCACTATATTACACCATATCCAACCACTAGCAATAACCGATCTTGCTGGATCAGACCAAGGTCCAGCTACATGGTCGTTCTGTTTCCAACAGCACCCAAGCAAGGCAGGAATGTGGAAAGCCATCCCCTGTTGTCATTCTCTAGCTCCTGCAACTCCAGAGGGTACACTGCCCTTAAACAATGAGGTTTCAGTGTTCGTACAGGCTTCCCCAGCATTCTCAGTCCTGATTTCATGCTTATGCATCTCTGTCTGTGTGTGTGCACGCGCATGTCCCTTCCATTCTTTCTGTTACTAGAGTCTCTGGCAGTAATTCCAGATGTTGACATTAGCCATTAAGAGAAAATTAAGTAAGAACACATCATATGCTCTGTGAAGTACCATGTACATTGATGAAGCTGGCTTAATAAGCAAACATGCAAATTTGAAGAAGGGCAACTAGTTTCAAAATCCATTGACAGCTTGGCTTCTCGTTGGAGAATGGGAGAGTCATAAAAACAGAAGCCTGTGAATCTCATGCTTGGTATTCAGTTGGAAGGATTGTTCTTGAATAAGGGATGTAGAGATATACTCTTTTTCATCTCTCTTTGTTTTCGTATGATACTGCAGTGAGCCTTTTTTCCTTTCCCCATTTTCATTACTGGCATTCCTGATATATTTGTTTTCATTTACAGCACTTTATAGTTTATATGCTATTTTTACACAATTGTCTGAAAAATGTTAAAAAATTGTGTAAACGTAGTTGGCAAAACTTGGTGCACACCGACAAAACTGTGAAAATAAAGACTTGTGCTCAATTCACAGAACAAAGATGTGTAGACAAAATGGGGGTTTTCAAGTCAAAATGTGAAATTCAGTAGTATCCCTGTTCTTGAAGAGTTGAAATTACTACTGGCCTAAGTTCCAATTGAATCCTTCCACGGGGGGTGGTAATATATGATTTTGCCTTTAAAGAAAATGCTAAATGTGCATTCCCTAGAACAATGGTTTTCTCTTTTTTTCATGGATATCGTTGGGGGGAAGAGGTTCCAGAAGCATTGTCCCCAGAAAGGTGTATGGGAGGCTGAACCAGGCCTGGCCAGTGAACTGCACTATGACACTTGGGGGGGGACTGGGGGTCTACCCTTGAAGCCGAGGGGGCCCTCCCCTGGGGACATGAAGCAGCACAGGGAGATAAGAGAGCCAGTAACCCAGGAGAAGCAAAATGTGTAGGATGGGTGTGGCCAGGCACACCCATGGTGGGTTGGGGTTGGCTGGCCTTTGTTGTCACTGTTTGAGATGAAACATGCCATTGGGAATGAGGAAGGGTGCAGCAGAGGGGCAGGAAAGCAGGACTCTTATTGGCAGGGGCTGGTCCAGCTACTGTGCCATGCTGTTAAGGTGGTGGAGCACTGGAGTTGGAAGTGGCTGGAAGCAGAGCCAGACAAGAAGCTGGGAAAGATGGAGTAAGCCTGAGGGAGGGAGGTTAACTGCCCACGGGAGAAGGACAGCCGGTCACATGTGTTTTGATCGATTGAAGACAATGACATTGTCTTGCAACAGTTGCCTCGGGGTCATCCTTCTGTGTATGGAACCCCACCCACTTCCTCATCTTCTCCGGGCTTCAGCCCTGCAGGCGCTCCAAACAGCCATGCCGATCCCAGTCCCGGCCACATGTGCCTTCTGGAATATGCCTCCAGAATCTTTTGCAATCCGTGGCAGAAATGGGGAGGTTCATCAACAGTCAAATTGCTATAGCTTTCTTAAGCTTCCGCTCTAGGAGGATGTCACTCTGGAGAATCCGAAGAGAAAATTTTGCTGCAGAATCAAAAAGGGAGTCTTAAAGCCTCTTATATTTATTGAAGCATAGGTTTTGTGGGCTTGTTTCATTTACAGCTTGTTTTGTGTGGTGCATGAAGTAAAAACCCAGTCCATAGACAGACAGACAGACAGACAGATACTTGCATGGGGGGATAGTGGTGTCAACAGGCCAGGAGATGCCAGAGTTCCAGCTGCTGACATTTGACAAGATGAGTACAGTAACCCATGACCAAACAGTTGAATTATGTTAAACTAATTTAGCTCAATCTGTAGCGGCTGAGGAAGATTTTCTGTTTAAGCTGTGGTAACATTCTAATTCATCAGTTTCTCATTGGTGTCTCCATTGAAGTTCCCTGGTTGAAGAATGGGGGCTTTCATCTTTTCTGTTTAAGCTGTGGTAACTCAACATTCTAATTCATCAGCTTCTCATTGGTGTCTCCATTGACGTTCCCTGGTTGAAGAATGGGGGCTTTCATGGCAGCAGTAGAGTATCCCAGACAAGTGAAATGTTCTTCCACTGGTTTCTGAATATATTGATAATTTTAACTGACTGAGGTTTTGTTTCAAGCATATGATGGAGTGGGCCCTAGCCCATGAAAGCTTGTGCCACAATAAATTTCTGACATCTTAAAGTGCCCCAAGATTCCTTTCTATCTTACTGCTGCTAACACAGCTGCCAGAGTGGACTTTTTCTCTGTGAAGAAGCACAAGAGCTGTAGGAAAGCAATTCTATCCCCCCTCCCCCCCGTCTGCCTTCCGTTGGCCTGTAAAGATTCTTTCAAGTGTCGAAGCCGAGTGTCCCTGGAGTTCAGCTGGAGGGGTTTCGGTTTGGGGAGGGGGTGTCTGTGTCCCATGCCTGTTCTTCGAATGCTGAGTATTGTTCCTGACATCCTCTCACATATGTTCTTCAGCTGGCTGGCCACAAGAGAAGCCACCCAAAGCTAGGCGTCTGCTTTTGAAGCTGTGCTTTTGGCAACTTTTGCACCAGAGCTTTTGAAACGGGAGGCTTCAGAGTGCAGTGGGGTGGGGCACTTGAGGTCATCCAGTTCAATGCTCTCCCCATCTGCAAATTGCAGGTAAGATCCTTGCTGCACACATGTTTCTGGCTAGCTTGCCCTTTCTCCAGAACGATGCCTCTTCTCTCTTTCGGCACTGGGGACTCCATGGCAGCTCATACTTGTATTCTGTATCAGAAATGGAAAGGCAGAAAGAGCACCCAGATTGTGGCATCTCTGTTTTTAAAAAGAACTTCTGTGTGAGGCAGGAGGCATGATGTCCCTTAATTTCTTTGGGGAGAGTAAAGCCTGGGTTAACTTTTATGTAAAACAAAGCAAAAAATTAAAAATTCTGAACCTGGGAAAGTTGCATTCTTTGGCTTGTATAAATTATGTAACTTAAAGTGATGTACATGATTTGAATCTATCCTGTTGCTTGGTTGCAAGACCTCATTCTGGTTTGGCTGCTTAGGAAGTGAGGTCCTGGAGCTGTGGTCCTGGCCCCAGGAAAGCTGTCCTGATTTTGAAGTATACCACATATAGAAGAAATAAAGCTTCTTTTTATCTTCAGACTGTTGGTCCACCAAACACAGTATTTGTCTGCTATCCAACTAGCAGCAGCTCTCCAAGATCCCAGGCAGAGGAAGGGCCCCGACAGCTGCTACTGGACACTTCACCTGGAGATGTGGGGGATAGAACTTGGGACTAGGGGTGTGCAAAAAACTGGGCCAAGGTCCCTTAAGCAAAATTTAATGGCAGAGTGGGGATTTGAACCTGATATTCCAAGATCCTGGGCTGTCACACTAACCATCATGCCACGCTGGCTCTCAGTCTCTGCTCTACCATTGAGCCATGATGACTCTCATTTTCTCAGAGTCCCACCTTTCAGAGCCCGCTGTCCTTGGTAGGTGGAACTGCTGTATGGAAAGGTGGCTATGACCCTGGTTGGCGCACATCTGGAATATTGAAAAAGGTCCCAGTTCAACCTCCAATTAAAAGGATACAGCGTAACAGGTGTTGGGGGAAACACCTTTTTCTGCCTGAGACCCCAGAGAGCTGCTCCCTGCCTCAGTAAACAATGCTGAGTGTTTCAGCCTCAGGCTTGCTGGAAATGATTAAAAAAATGAAAATGAATAAATATGTCCTAATGGTGTCACTGAGAGGGTTTTTGTTTTTTTTGAGGGGGGACAGTTCTGCAACACACCATCCTGACCCAAACCCAAACGTATGTGCTGCATCTGCTTTGTGGCTTCTTCAGTACAGGCAGCTTTGGAAAGAGCTATGTGGAATGAGAGCTGTACAGCTTGTTCCACTGAAGAAGAAATGCCCAGATAATTACGCACGGGTTTTCAGTGGAGAAAACTGTTCCTGATTTCTTGTATGATGGAAAAGGGGCCAATCTGTTGCCATGAGTGACCCAGCCCACAGCAATGGCATGGCTGCTGTCCTCTATGGAGGGATGCTGTATGTGTGGGTGGAGGGAGGCTTAATCAGCCCTTTTGCCTTCCTTTGGTTTGAGTTTTTTAAAAAAAACACCCAAGACCAAAACTGTTGTGTTTAATTTCCTCAAAGGTATGTCAATGTGAATCAACTCTCAGACCCTAGGCTGGATTAACTGCTAGGCTAAAAGTGCTATGGAGCTGAGAACTACGGTTTTGTGGGTGGAGATGAAATAGCTCCATTCCTTTGCTGGAGTATTTTCAAAACTGCCCTGCATTCAGAAAATGTAGACA